TAGCAACCATTCATACACGATTAGATGGCCCCATTATGGAAGTATACTTGTCAACAACCGAAATATTAAAATCTTTACTTTCGATTTTTCACCTAATGTCCGCCTGGATGCCCACTGTGCGTTTGCCATTCTGCTTAGAATATACGCTGTGGAGTAATCAAACTAAATAGTTTCACTTACGGCCAGGAGGATAGTTAAACTGCATTTTATCAGAAGCAGTTGTTAAAACTGCAGTTGCAGTCTTTTTTAAGGAACGTATGATGAAAATGACATTTTTTCCGTTCTCTGTTTTAAAAGAACGAAAAGTATACATCATTATAATTTTGTGATTGAGAAAAATGTACAAGGGACGTCCTTTCAATATGTCTCACTATTTGTTCGTGCAAAATGAAGAGATACCTCTTTTCGCCCTATTCGTAGCTGCTTCTATTTATTACGAATCAATGTTCAAATAGTAAAAAGTAAATCACAAAAACAAACCTGTATTATGTATTTTAGTCGATATTACATAAATCAAAGTTTTATTTTGAAAAACTAGTGAGGAAAACTACGAATTGATGATGACAACAATCTGTTACTATGTTTCATTTTCAATTTTTCTTTGTTTAGTTCCAAATGATGCAAGAATATTCACACAGGATGATATAATTGAAAAGCTTAAAAAAAATGAATATAAACGTTGTTGGGATCATCGATCTCAGGTTCCGTACTTATTTAATAAAAAAAAAACCTATGGGTAAGTTTTGTCTGTTAGTTCGCATCGCTCGTGGCATTAGCCTGTCTGGAATACTAAACTGTAACAATCAATTTTATACGATTGTATAGAATTTCAAGAGCTTTCCTTTGCAAAAAGAATTCGTTTAGAGAAAAAACGCTGATGAAAAGTGATCATGTTATACTACTTGTAATCAACCCGTTATTATAAAATTTAAAATGGAAGCATTCCATTTAGATATCATATGAAAATTGTAATTCGGTGGAAATCAAAACAAGATATGTAGTTGATAATTATCTTGGAGGTATATTTAGTTGGCAAGCAAAACAGGATCGTTCAAACCGTTTAATCGATTGTGTAATAAAAACAATAAACAAAACAATATTCAACAAAGCCCATGTCAAAGGTGACATAATTACGCTGAATGATGGTACTACTTATGAAATTACCACCAATCATACCTCATTTATCAATTTTAAGTGGATATTAGATAAACAAAAACAATATTACAAATCTATTAATTAAATTCATTATACATTCCAAGTAACTATCATAAGCAGTCTCTCTTTTTCTGATGGTACCTTTTTACTACTATACTACTACTTAGAAACTTTGTCAGTACGAAAAAACCTGTCTTCTGAATTGAACGTGGATCAACATATCCATGGAATCTCATGGTTTTTTGCAATGATGCAGTTAGTTTTGTTTGATTCCGACTTTTACCATATGACCTTAAAAATCTGGATGCAATTTGAAGAGAGGCCCCGTCTAGTCTTCAAGCTCAAGTTCAATTTATTTTGCATCAGCAAGGACATCAAAAAGAAAGTAGACGTTTAGTAACTTATAACATCTGGTAAACAGAAGCTTTAGTGAATCTTAGAAAAGCTAGTATAGCACATCCGTATCTAGCCATGAGCGACCTTCAGAAGCGATCCTATTGGTTGAAACTTTTTTGACTGACGTTTTAGGATTATATGGACAAATATCGGCAGCTTCGGTGTCCTCGAAACAATGTGACCCATATTATTTTTAATGTATCAGTCAATGTATTATGCGCCACAATCAACGCGAAAAAGGCAATACACAGCAAGAATCGACAAAGGCCTACCAAAGGAGGCCTGAGCTGTGTTGTGTTTTCGGGTTGTTCTTCATACGTGTCCGGAAGATCTTTTTCATTTACCCGTAGATATACAACCAGTTACGATTAACGAATTGATCTAATAAATGACTGTCGATATTGAAAGATTCAACGTACCAATTAGACTAATATTTGTTAAAACAATGATTTCTAATTGAAATGATCGGTTTTTTAATTGTTTGGATTTTCTGTATATACATGTACACTGACGACAAAAATTTTCCGTACCGTAATTTTTCCGTGCATCAAAATATTCTCCTCCCTCTCTAGCACATATGTGGATAAAAAAAGGTAGTAACTGTGATTAAGTCATTCGAAACAACGTCAAAAACTAAGTAAGATACATATAGTCTAGAAGTTAAATGGAAGAATTTGACCCATCTTTTAATCGAAAAATAGACATAATTGACCCTGTTTCGAATGGCTTAATAACAGTTTTTTTCACCCACTCATTCCTGAGATCGAGCAGTCAAACTGAAGAATGGCAATTTTTGCTTAAAGTTTCGGTTTCAGCCGAAATATAACTTTGTCAAAATTATTCTTTTATCAAAATGTAACTCGCGCTCTCTTCTATTGATTGATGTAGTTTTCATATTGTGTCCGGACTTATACGGCGTAAAAACAGACTCTCATCAACTGGACGGAAAATTTCTGCCAGTCTGAAAAAGTTCTATTTTCAGTCCAATTAGCCTACAAACAGCAACAATGAGTATTTCTAACTTTTTTTATATTTATTTTTACAGTAATTCCATAATTTTATATCTTCAGGGAAATCATCATCGTTCTTTAAGCGAGAATCAACCTCACAAATTACTATTGCATCGATTGCACAGAGAACTGACACGATTTTGTCTACATGTTATTCGCCAGGATTTGTCTTTGGTGAACCATTGAATGAAGCATTAATCATAGTAGACTGTATTTATTTGTTTCTTCGTTGCATGAAAATAATCAAATACCAAATGTTTGGTCAATTTAATAGTATACAACAACTCAATCTGTTCAGTATTTGACTTTTGAGTCAACTAATCATCGTTTTTTTGCGCTACGTCGCACATATCTGAATGTACTACATGAAGGTCGCTGTTTCACATACAGGTTTCAACTGAAAAATCTCATACACATAGGTCGAATATTAGCCTAACAGAGAAAAAGTTTCATTATCATCATATTAGACATAAATTCTGGTCATGTCAAGTCTGCAACAACTTTAATCGGAAAAACCGTTGCAGATGGAAGAGAAGATTTTGATGCAGTTTGCTTTCTCTTTCCAATGGCGGAGGTAAGTTTCTGCTCTAACAAATTCTAAAGTGTTTTATTAGTACGTGAACAAATGGCATGGACTGCGTCAAAAAGTGATTTTTGGCCACTGGAATTGATTGGATGAAAAGTTCACAGAAATTCACTTTCGAGCTTTTAGTCATAAATCCAAAAGGTCACCTGGATTCTTCCAGTCAATTCT